GTGCGGGCGCGGGCCCGGGCCCCTGATGGGCGCGCTTGTGGGTGCGGTAAAGTCCCCTGAGGCTCCCGGCGACCACAGACCCTGTCAGACTGCGCCTTCGCAAAAGGAGGGGGGGACCCTTTGTGGGAGCCCCAGTCCAGGACCCGCGGGGCCGAGCCCTCCTGCGCCGATGGAGCACCCCGGAATCCTGGAGGGGGTGCTGGAGAGGGCGGGGAGGGGTACCCGAGCTGGGACCAGTGGAGCGGCGCTGGTACCTCGCATCGCTGCCCCTCCCCTGGATGCTGCGGGCTCAGGGACACCTTTTGGACACGGTGCCACCCACTGTGGTCGAAAAAGCCACCGCCCTTTGCGCAGCGGGGTTGGGATGAGGGAGGGGCTGCCATCTCCAAGCCTTTACCAGGCTGGGGGGCTGCACCTCCCTCCCCCCTTCCTGGCCCACGCCAGCGCGGAGCTCGGGCGGAGGGGCGGCACGGGCCGGGGTGGGATAGTGGTCGCTGGGCACTCACGGGACGCGGGCAGCTGCCGGGCGGCCCTGGGGGCGAGGGGGCAGCGTCCGCTCTCCCCGGGATCCGTCTGCTCCGTCCAGCCGCCCCAGGCCCGGCTGCGCCTTTGTGCTCGGCCCCAGGACAGCAGGGCCGGGCGGCTCCCCACTCAATCCCGTTTCGCCCTCGGACCGGGAACCGCGCTCCCGCCCACGCGCCTCTTCACCCCGGGGGCGGGGCGCGCAGGTCCCCTCTCCCGAGCCAACCCGACTCTCTCCAGGGCTCCGCCCGCCCGCGTGCGCCCCGCCTTGGCCCCGCCCCTCACCCCCTGCAGATTCCCGGCCCCGGGTGACTCGGGCACCTGGGGGGGGCGGGCAGGGCCGTGGCTGACCGCGCTCCTCCCACGTCATCTGGGGGGCTGGCTCATGGGGCTTCATCTGCCCCCTGCCCTCTTGCTGACTTTCACAGAGCATTGGGCAGAAAGAGACCCTCCTACAGCGAGGGAGGGTGGCTCTGTCCCTTCCCTGGCCACACTGAGGAAGGGCTGTGGGTCCTTGTCACTACCTGTGGTGCCTGAGCTGTGGGACAATGGGCAGCCACTTGTGGGGAGCCCTTCTCAGCCTTTTCTCTTGTTCACCCTCTTCAGTGAAAACCCTGTTCAATAGGCCTCATTCTTGCCATCTCTCTGGCAGACAAGCAGACTGACATTAGGTAAGAAAGGACACAGCCAAACCTCACCTTCGATGGCCGTCAGCGCTGAGCACAGACACCCTCTCACCACAGAGTCCCCGACACCAGCCCTTTCTTCAATGACAGATGTTAGGGCACTGCTGACCCTTGCTTGGTCCCATGATTTTCTGGGTGTTGCAGTTGCCATTGGTGTCCAAAGGGAAACCATAAGTGCAGTTGGTTAGTTTTGTCCAGTGTGGCCACAACCCCCCCAAGCCAAGCTGCAGTACCAGCTGGGGAACTGCTCCCTGGCCGATGTCACCAGGGTCTGAGCTTTTCCTGTTCTGCCATCAGTACCACTCTTGATAGAGTGTAGCCACAGGGGGACAAGCCAGTGCTCACTGGCAGCTTCTCCAGCCATCAGCACTGGATAGCATGGTGGCCTTGCCCAGAAGTGGCTACATGAGGCTGCTGGTAAATGTGGTCAAAATCGGGTTAAATGAACTCCAGCTAAGGCTTCTCTGTTAAAGACATCCCTGATTGGGCCAACTGCCAGCCTCCTGTGCCCAGGCAACCTGCCTGCTCATGCTCACTGGTGGCTTAGTTTGGTCTTGGTGACCAGGGGAAGAGTCATCATCTGCTGTGGACTTGTAGCCACCGATTGATCATGGTTTTCTTTTCCTGTGTGGACAAAAGCTCCCACCACCTTCCCTTGAGGGCCGCCTGTGGAGCGGAGTTCTCAACTTCCTTGGGAAGTTTGGGCCACCTCGCCTGCCTCTCAGCATCCTTTCCAGGCACACAGCCCTCGCGCTCCTGTAGACACCTGCTCATTATGTGCCTCATGCAGTTCCATCAGCCCCGAGGCCTCACGCCTGCTCCTGAACTCTCAGGGCCTCTGTTTCCCCATCTGGATGGGGGTGATAGGGACAGCAGCTCCCCTGGGCTCGTTATGGAGGTCTAATGAGATATTTCAGGATAGGCCCTTGGCTTGATGCCTGGCAAAAGGAGAGTGCCCATCCATGCCCAGCAGCATGACTGTTGTGGCCACATTTCCCAGTTTCTTGCCCAGAGAAAGGTGATTGTGCCAACAAGTTCCCCCATGCTGGGATCCTGGCACTGCTGGAGACGACTCTGACACGTGAAAGAAGGGGAGCCTGGGTGGCAACAAGTTCCATTTATTGGGGAGCAGTTAGCAGCAGCCCCCAGGGTCCTTCTAGGGGTGAGTACACATCTGTGGGCCCCCTGCCCTCCCAGTTCTGGACAGACCCCTATCCCCATTAGGCTCCCAACAGGAAAGTGCTGTCAGAGGCCTGGGCTTGTGACCAGGCTCCCATCCTGGCATGCTGTGTGACTTTGGGTGGGCCACTTGCCCTCTCTGAGCCTCCTTTCTCCTCTGTACGAGGCTGACAAGGGTGCCTACCTGGCTGGCTGGTCTTGAGGGTTAGTTGGGAGGGTGGGTATGATGTGTCCACCCCATGGGTGCTAGTATTGTTCCCATGGGGCTGTAGGCTGATCTGGTGCCTTCTAACTCTTGCTCACCTAGGATCTAATAATCTAAAGTCTAATATGCATTTTTGCATATTTAACCTTTAACATGAAGAGGAAGAGGAAGGGAGATGAAATCAATCCAGGTCATGGCAGGGGTTTGTTTGTAACAACTTCCTGAAGCCAAGGATGGGGAAGGAAGAGAAGGGTGCCTGTGAAGGGGAGAAAAGGCAGGCGTGCCTTGAGGCTTTGGAGGGGCTTCCTGGCTTGAGCTAAGTCTGTGGAGAGGTGGCCTGGATGGGTCTGGGTCTCCATCTCTTCCCTCTGCAATGAGACATGACCTTTAAGTCCCTCCACCTCTGAAAATAAAGGCGTAACCTCCTGTCTTTCGTGATGCTCAGCAGCCTCATTCTCCAACCCCCCACCTGCAGGGGAGTTCCCTCTGACACGCAGTCAGAGCACAGAGCAGGCCTCACTCTCAAGCTCCCTCCCACTTGGCTTCATGAGGACTAGTCTTCTGGAAAGGACTGGGATAAACCAACCCGGGAATCTCTGTGACCACCAGGGGCTGAGCTGTGTCCCTGTTCACAGCTGTAGGACACAGTGTCCTACACTTCCCAGCTGGACACCTCACTTCTCAGCTGGACACCTGTCCCCTGGGCACAGCTGTGGCGTATGAGAGCTCTGACCTCAGTCTGCATCCCGCCCTCTTCTCTCTCCTGACGATGCAGAGCTCACCCTGCCGATGCCCCCCATTCTACCAGCCTCCCCCCTTGCAGAGTTGACAGTGACCTGGAAGGAAGCCCCCTTGCATTTGTCTGTAAACGTGTTCCTCCTCTGTAATGAATCCACTGCTCATTTTCCAGGCTTAAGGCAGAGAGGAACCAGAGCAGCTGTGAGACCCCAGGCTCCCGGCCTGTAATGTAAACCCACTCAGAAGTTCCGAAAGGTCAGAATGGGGGTCTGTGGTTGTTGCCTGGGTGGCAGGTGCTGGCAGGGTTAGACAAGGTCCCCTCCTTCCTGCCCTCTCCCAGGACCCAGGAGTGTCTCCTGATCCAGGCTCCTCCTATTACCCTCCCCACCTTCCCTTCTGAGCGCAGGTTGGTTGCTCCCTGGCCTCACCTGGCCTGCTGCTCCCAGCGAGCTGGCTCTGCCTGGTCACATGCGCTGTGATGTACCCCTTTGTCTCCTCTTTGAGATGAACTTTTAACGACACTGGTAATACATGAATTGACAAGTCAGACCAAATCCCCTTTGAGGCCCCCCACCCTCCACCTCCCTTCCAGCTTCCTGGAACCAATGAATAAAATGTGGTTTTGCCCTGTGCCCCTCCAAGCCCCCTTGAAGGCTCTCCATGCTGCTTGTTTGGGAGCCTTCTGTGCTCCCTCCACAGCTTCTTGGGCTCTCTCCAGAAGAGTCGGGGCCATCGAGATATTTTGATAAAACCACCTCATTCTCTGTGCTTGCTGTGGGAGGCCCTGCTCCCACAAGCTGCTCCTTCAGACCAGGGCCTGACCATTTCTGTCCTGTGCCCTGTTTCTACACCAACACTCTCCTCGATTTCATGTTAACTCAGTTTCAAAACATCTTGTGTGAAATTTGATCAGAAAGTTTCTTGTCCATCTAAACCCTTGTCCAAATTCTTGTGTTCCCCTTGGAAGAGTGCTGTAGGGGACTGTGCGTGCCTTTTCCTCCATGAAAGCCAGACTCCCTCTCCCTGGAGAATCTCTCTGATGGCACATGGGCCTCTGAGCCTCCTAGACTTTGGGACATGCTGGAAGTGGTGGAAAGGACACAGACCACCTGGGATTGTGCTTGAGGAGCTTTGGGCAAATCACCCTATCCATCTGGGCCCATCATCATCTTGGTTGAGTGGGGGTGACAGTATTGGGCTTGCAGGACCTTTGAGCCCTAGTGAGACACTGGACTAACGTGTCTGCTTTGAGGCCTGCCCACACGAATACACTGTGAATAGTTTAATGACTTCCATTCTGAGAGTGGGCATTTCCCTCCCGACAGGGCTCAGGGCCTCAGCAGCCAGGCTCACCTCTTTTTCTGTGTGAGCAGTGACAGCTCTGGCTGTGCGCACTGGCTCTGCAAAGCTAGAGGGCTGGCTGTGGTGCTGAACGGACAGCTCCCTTCCCTTTATCCCTAGGTGGGCAGCGAGTGCATCTGGTGAGGCCTGGGTTTAACAGGGTAACCGCACTACTGTCAGGGTAAATGGAGGGGGAGCAGATAAGCAGGTCTGAGGGTTTCACCCAAGTGTAGAGCCCAAGACAGTGCTGCCTGCAGAAGCTCCACTTCAGTGCCAGCCCAGTCCTGAGTGGTTAATGTTGTCTACCCCAGGGGGCAAGTTCTGAGAGGGAGTACATGGGGGGGTGGGGGGTGGAAGGAGTGAGAGTTGGGAAGATACACAGTGACAAGGAATCACAGAGACTCAGAAATATACAAAGAGAGATAGTGACAGATAGAGAACCAGAAAGACAGAAGGATGAATAGAGACACAGACAGACAGAGTGAGGGACAGACCTAAAGAAAACGAAAGACAGAGACACAGCAGTGCAGAAAGTGAGACAGACAGGGGCTGAGAGATAGGAGCAGAGGGAACCATGCAGGGACATGCAGGGAGGCATGCCCAGGGAAAGGCAGATTCAACACTGGGAGGGTAGGGAGGGAGAGAAGAGACGTAGAGGGAGACGTGGGAACACAGAGAGCCAGACAACAGGCTCCCGGAGAGACAGCCTGGAGCAGGAGCCGTCGGGGAGGGCGATGGGGCAGGTGAGGGCGGCTGCTCACCTGCCTCCCGCCCACAGCCTACAAGGAGAAGATGAAGGAGCTGTCTGTGCTGTCACTCATCTGCTCCTGCTTCTACTCACAGCCGCACCCTAACACCATCTACCAGTATGGGGGTGAGTGTGCCTGCTCCCCATCCCAGGGCCTTTTGACTCTCCTGGCTTGGATGGCTCATGGAAAGGGGGTTTGGGGAGAAGGGGTGGTATAGGGACTCAGGCCTTTGGATCCTCCATGAGCAGCCACACCCCCACACTCAGGCCTTGATTTGGATGCATGCAGGGAACCAGCCCCTCCCCTGTCCCCTCCTCGGCTGGCCTTCGTGAAGCCTCTGTCTGGTCTTGCCCTGCAGACATGGAGGTAAAGCAGCTGGACAAGAGGGCCTCTGGCCAGAGCTTTGAGGTCATCCTCAAGTCCCCTTCTGATCTGTCACCCGAGAGCCCTGTGCTCTCCTCACCTCCGAAGAGGAAGGACACCTCCCTGGAGGAGCTGCAGAAGCGGATGGAGGCAGCTGAGGTGCGGAGGAAGGTAAGGGCCCCACATCCCATGTCCTGATGAAGGTAGCCAGGAGGTCTTGCTGGCTGTGGACATGGTCCTCAAGGTGCAGGGTGCTCCAAGCCCCTGCTTGGTTGTTGGCCTGGGCTGGAGAATCTTACGGTTTCCTGGACCTTCTCCTGAGAGATCAGAATGGGACAGGGAGGAGGAAGGACGCCCAGTGGCAGCCAGCTGGAGGGAGACAGAAACCAGACACTGTTGGTGGACTCTTGGCTATGGCTAGGAGGGGGGTCAGGTGCCTGGGACATGAGCCTGGACTGGCATCCTCCTGGACAAGGGAATGAGAAGGAAGGGCCTCCATGTGATGGGGGCTGCAAACCTAGACCTGCTGGGAGCTCAGGGGGCCTCTGGGAGAAGTGGGGTGGGCCCCAGGCTCCTCCCCAACCCTTCACCTCACACCAGCCCCTCTGTCACTGAAACACACAAAAGAGGAATTGCTCTCAAGAGTGTGTCCTGGTGCCCAAGCCCATAGGACAGGGGCAGTGGCTCTATCTCCCTTACAACGGGTCCCAGTGAGCCCTGGGGCCCCAGTCTTCCCAGGGTTAACCTGCAGCAACTGGCCTTTTGAAGGAGACCTAGGACACTAATCACCCCTGAGAGCCTCAGGCTCTCCTTGGGGGCCACCAGGCAGCCCCTCCGCCAGCAGGGCCGACACTGACACTGAGCCACCAGCCCCAGGCTCCTCTCTCCAGCTTCTCCTCTCCGCAGCATCCCTGGGGAGCTGCCCCCCACAGTAGAAAGCTCGGCACCTGGCCGGTACCGAGCAGCTGCTTTGTGCTCAGCGGGCAGAGGTTCGAGGAACAGGCAGGAAGGCTCAGGGACAGCCCACAAGTTTAGATTCCCTTTGCTCCTCCAACATTCCCGCAGCGCGCCCAGGGGCTCGGCGCAGGGGCACCTGAGGCTGCCTTCCTAGGGCGCGCTCAGCCTAAGGGT